CTCATGGACCAAGGATCATCAAAGCCTCGTTCAAAACAAAAAAGAGGGCATTTCAATGAACATCATCCAATGCTATGCACCTACCACTGACTACAATGAAGACGCTAAAGATCAATTCTACAATAGGCTGCAGTCAATCGTCGAGAAGCGCCCAACAAAGGACCTGACCATTCTGATGGTAGATTTCAATCCCAAGGTTGGAACGGACAACACTGGATATGAAGACATCATGGGACAACACGGACTGGGAGAAAGAAACGAAAATGGTGAGAGATTTGCAAACCTATGTGCCTTCAATAAACTGGTCATAGGCGGCACCATATTTCCACATAAACACATTCACAAAACCACATGGACTTCACCGGATCACACTACACAAAACCAAATTGACCATATTTGCATCAACAAAACGTTCAGGAGGACTATAGAGGACGTGAGAACCAAGAGGAGCTGATATAGCACCAGATCATCACTTGCTGGTCGCCAAGATGAAATTGAAACTCAAGAAGTACAGGACAACGAGGCGGACAACATCATAAATGTTCAATACGGCCTTTCTTCAGGATACTGACAAACTCAACAAATTCAAGATAGTCCTCAGCAACAAGTTCCAGGCCTTTCATGATCTACTCAATGGAGAAGGAACTACTGTGGAGAGCAACTAGAAGGGGATCAAAGAGGCAATCACTTCAACATGTCATGAGGTCCTGGGTCAAAAGAAGCACCATCACAAGGAATGGATCACTGTTGATACATTGGATAAGATTCAAGAAAGGAGGAACAAGAAAGCAGCAATCAATACCAGTCGAACAAGAGCAGAGAAAGCCAAGGCACAAGCTGAATACACAGAAGTAAACAAACAAGTGAAGAGGAGCATCAGAACCGACAAACACAAATATGTGGAAGATTTAGCAACGACGGCGGAAAAGGCTGCAAAAGAAGGAAACATGAGACAATTGTATGACACGACAAAGAAACTCTCTGGAAATCACCACAAACCAGAACGACCAGTGAAAAGCAAGGAAGGCGAGGTAATCACCAACATTGAAGAGCAACAAAACAGGTGGATAGAATACTTCAAAGAACTCTTGAATCGACCAGCTACACTGAACCCACCCAACGTCATAGCAGCACCCACGGACCTCCCAATCAATGTTACCCCACCAACAATTGAAGAGATCAGCATGGCCATCAGACAAATCAAGAGTGGCAAAGCAACAGGACCAGACAACATTCCAGCAGAGGCATTAAAAGCAGACGTGTCGGTAGCTGCAAGAATACTCCACATTCTCTTCAATAAGATTTGGGATGAGGAACAAGTACCAACAGACTGGAAAGAAGGACTTCTGATCAAATTACCAAAGAAAGGCGATCTCAGCAAGTGTGATAACTACAGGGGCATCACTCTTCTCTCAATACCGGGAAAAGTCTTCAATAGGGCATTGTTAAACAGGATGAAGGACTGCGTAGACGCCCAACTTCGTGACCAACAGGCAGGATTCCGTAAGGATAGATCGTGTACAGACCAAACCACAACTCTACGGATCATTGTGGAACAATCAATTGAATGGAATTCATCACTCTACATCAACTTCATTGACTACGAAAAAGCATTTGATAGCCTGGACAGAACAACACTATGGAAGCTTCTTCGATACTACGGCGTGCCTCAGAAGATAGTCAATGTCATACAGAATTCATATGATGGATTACTCTGCAAAATCGTGCATGAAGGGCAGTTGACAAAGTTGTTCGAAGTGAAGACTGGTGTTAGGCAAGGTTGCTTACTCTCACCCTTTCTCTTTCTCCTGGTGATCGACTGGATCATGAAGACACCAACGTCTGAAGGGAAGCACGGGATACAAGGGACATCTAGGATGCAGTTGGATGATCTAGACTTGGCAGATGATCTGGCCCTTCTATCCCGAACGCAACAACAGATGCAGGTGAAGACGAACAGTGTGGCAGCAGCCTCAGCAGCAATAGATCTCAATATACACAAAGGGAAAAGTAGGATTCTCCGATACAACACAGAATGCACCAATCCAATCACACTTGACGGAGAAGATTTAGAAGATGTAAAAACCTTTACATATTTGGGCAGCATCATTGATGAACAGGGTGGATCTGATGCTGATGTGAAGGCGCGGATCGGCAAAGCAAGAGCAGCATATTTACAACTGAGGAACATCTGGAACTCAAAGCAACTGTCAACCAACACCAAGGTCAGAATTTTCAATACAAATGTCAAGGCAGTTCTACTGTATGGGGCAGAAACCTGGAGAACTACGAAAGCCATCATCCACAAGATACAGGTGTTTATTACCAGTTGTCTATGCAAAATACTTCGGATCCGTTGGCCGGACACTATTAGCAACAACGTACTGTGGGAGAGAACAAACCAGATCCCAGTAGAGGAAGAAATCAGGAAGAAGCGCTGGAAGTGGATAGGACACACACTGAGGAAAGCACCCAACTGCGTCACAAGACAAGCCCTCACATGGAATCCTCAAGGCCAAAGGAAAAGAGGAAGACCGAAGAACACATTACGCCGAGAAATGGAAATAGACATGAGAAAAACGAACAAGAATTGGATGGAATTAGAAAAGAAGGCCCAGGACAGAGTGGGTTGGAGAATGCTGATCGGCGGCCTATGCTCCATTGGGAGTAACAGGCGTAAGTAAGTAAGTAAGTCTCCCCTTCCAAAGTTACACGTGTAGATCACTAACTAGGTGATCCATAGTGAATGATTGGGGACATACTTAAGTTGGACTAAAATGGTGTGACAAACCAGCTATTTCCGTAGTCACACCTCGCTGTCCGCAGTAATTGGCAATTCAAAAACTAAGACTTTAAATGCCACACATTATATAAAGTTTTAACAGTTTTTCATATACTCTTAAAACTTGTGGTTTACGCTTATGACCAAATATGCTCTGAAACACAACAAATATGTCTTTAAATCTCATGTTCTTCACTGATTTACTCTCAACATGAATGTAATGGGTATGAGCAGTCTGAAAACGGATAACTTATATTTTCCCTATATGTTGAAATTCACTTTACGCACTATCGAATTTACCTCAGCTTCCGAAACGTCATTCCAGTAATTTTGGTTAAAATGCTTCGCTTATTTCGACTGAGGTATCTCTTGAACATGGAACACTGGATAATTATTTTTAAAAACTTACTTATTGCAATAACACTTTGTCAGTTAGAGAAAGTGTTACTTATGTCTAAAGTTTATTGATTTGTAGCGTGGTGTTGAGTTGGGATTGACTGTGAACACCGCTACCAAGAAACACGTGCCAAGTAAATCAGAAGGCGAGGGTCGAACGTAACCAAATTAATCCATAAAATCCCCGAAAAGCCAAATATCAGAAGGCAGTTAATGGACCAAGTCGAGATATTTTTGCTGGCGATCTCGTGGTGTCGAAAGGATACCGAGATCGTGCTAGGATACAAGCTTGGTTACAGAACGTAACCCAAATTCGCGCGAACTCACAATCAAAGTGTAAGAATAAGAATGGAAGCACAATATAGATGTCATTAGCACAGTCAAACAAAAGCACATTAAAACAAATACTGGTACAGTTGATTATAATAATTGTTTTTATTAAGCCAGTCGTGTTCTCGTGATAAATGTGAGTCACTACAGATTATTTGATATCTCGTCCTAATCCTGGCGTTAAACATCGATTCACAAACGTTTTGCATATCTAGAACTGCTGATTTATTATTAATATGCTGTTTCCTAGACTTTATCAGCTTTTGAACAAAGACGGTAAGGTTCATTGTAGCGATTGATGTCCCAGACGAAGTTATAGAGCAATGGGTAAGCGAAAATATAGACTACAAAACACAGAAAACCCATTATTGTTTTTTGCAATGATTTTGTGGTTTTATTGAAACGGAATACTACTTGAATATGAAAACATTTAAAATGCATGTGAACCAATAGACGCACAACAAACGCACAGCGATCGAAATGCAGAAGAGCAGTCACATGTCAGGCCGTTCAAGGTCGTGGAGGCGAATTGGCGCGAGTCTCCCAGTAGGTCTAACTTCTTTGATTTTATGCAATTAGTAATATATCTACAAACTATTGTACGTGGGCGAAGCGAAAAAGACTACAACTACATCATATTTCAGTTCATAGGCTATCAAATTGGTAGACTGAGTGTCGGCGAGACTATTATTTTTAGGCGAACTAAACGGATTCACGATAACAGGCCTTAGATTTTGGTGCGAAACCTGTTTATTATTTATTCGGCACCATTGATGATGTCAGTTCGTGATGAAAACCCCAAATCTAATTCCTGACCCTAATTATATCCAACTTATAATACTAAAAGCTACAACACTTCCGAGATTAGCTCAAATGTGAAATTTGTATCACTGGAATGCGGCTGGTGTTCCTGATAATTCGCTATGCACAGGCAGACATCCGTCTCGTAGCGGTGTCGTCGTCCACCTGACAAACAGTCCTGTCGTACGAGTCCGTTTTAACTTTATCAGGGAAAGGGAAACCAGTATATGATAAACTACTATGCCACGGAGCTAATGTTAGATGTAACGACTGCCTCAGGGTAACGAGGCATATAGGGCTCAGAAATTAAACTGAATTAAGGACTTCATCATGAACATCCTGCAACCTTAACGTGAGAATCCTAAAGTTGATATCCTGGCGTGATAAATTATCCACTAGTATTTGCTGTCTCTTGGTTGGCTGGGATAAAGCAAAAGCTCAGGTTCGTCTGGCTACTTAGTATTTGACTCGGCAGTGTTTTTTGAAGATCTAGTTTTTGTAACCCGTTCTCACATTCTTATGAAGCCGGTGCCTTGGATTGTTGGTAGTCAAAATCGTCCCCGTAAGATTTTGGTAAAGTCAGCAGTACACTTTCACTGTCAAATCTTAAATCCTCAATAATTGGTCTTAATGCTCTTCAAATTGTGTCCATGTTACGAGAGTTTTGTATCCTTCAGGTGAGAGTCATTATCGTCTATAAGACAGGCTAAAAACAAGCTATCAGCTCAGAAACACTTTGAAGTATCCGCTCACATCATGGTATTAAGTGTTGCAGCATAATTACACCAATTTTATTCTTAAAGTGGGATAGTTTACTAAGGATTGTTAGATAGAAAAGCATGTTTTGATGCCATTGGTGTGAATCTGATACGTAGTAGTGGCTCGAAATATGCATATCACGGAGTGAGTTCCCCGACATTTTGCTAAGTTACTCAACGATATAATTGATACTTATTACCACGATTAAGCGGATCCCTATGAACATAACATTTCTACGACTGTTGAAAAGCTCAAAAATCGATACAAGTACGCCTAGTTTATGAAGTCACGTACTATTAATTATTATCACCAATCAGTTGTCACTATATTTCCAATATATCATTTTCCAGAGATCTTAGAAGCTTTAACTCAAATGAGCCAGAATATAACTGTTCCTGTGACTTTTATACGTTCATTCAAGTACCGTACAACGTGTTATTTGCCTTTGTCGAACATTCCTCAGTCGGCGACTGTAAAAGACCTGTTCGATCGCATACATCATGGTAAACATTACATTAGATATACTTTACAATATTCATGTTTAGAAGTAAAAACCTCTTCGGTTATACCTCCTCCTTTCAAGAACCTTTGTTACGGTAAGCTAATATCTAGTAATTTAACTCTCATAATAGAAACCTGATGAACACCCATTGGTACTCAATCATTTATTCACTAACTAATTAATTCGGTTTGATTTCAGGGAAACACATGCTTCAGGAGGCTCCTTAGTCTTTTGGTAATCTGACTGGTGTTATAAAACCCGACTTGACTTTCTCTATTTCCCAATGACGACAAATGTAGGTTCTTTAATCCACTACTCTGTTGGCGCACTATCCCAACCTGCTTGATAATTTCGAAAGATGTATTATTACGTATCCTAGGTACTAAGATTATAATAACGTAGTGTATTAATATACTTGCTTCAGTAAGAGCGAAAACTAGTCCCACTTTAGCTGTTTTAATGTTCTAGTGTGCGTTAATGCCATTTTGAGAAAAGATCCTTAGTCATAACCTAATTGTAAAATACAAGTATAAATACCAAACAGAATTACGCAATAAACCCGACCCCTTTAGAGTTTTCGATATCTTTTTAAAGCTCTCCTAATAGTATTTAGTTAACTAACATCCTAACATTTGTTGTCACCGCTTTCGATGTATCTACTTCAACCAATCTTAAGGATTTATTTCAATTTCTCATATATATATTTTTATGCTCTTTCGAAGATGCGCTGAAAATTCGCCACAAAGCTTTTAACACTAAGGTAAGATTTATGTCTTATAATACTCTCTTTACCAGTCTGGAGAACTGTTAATTGATTTAGAAGGTGATCCTATTCCGAGCAATTCGGACTTAACTCTAGAATCTCTTGGAATAGGTATGTTTATTACAGATATGTCAACGCTCTTATTTCCATGTACGAATATTTTTATAATTATGTGAAAAAACGTAATCAATTGAGGAAATATTGACTTGCTAACCGTTAATGTATTTTAATAGGCTCAGAGTCTATGAGGTACAAAGACCTGGAATGATAAAATGATTTATAGTTTTGCAATGAGTCTTATTAATCGTTTTAGGTGAATAAAGGATTCAAAGGTTGTGTAAAGCATGAGTTTAATAAAAATAAGTCCGATAACCACTTAAAAGTTGTGTGTCAGGCTCGGGGCCATTACTTTCGCATGAATCAACAGTGCCATATACTTGTACAACTAATATTCCAATGGGAAAATCTAAATGTGTTCAAGCGAGATTTACCCTGATTATGGCTGACCGGCTTATCTGAAACTGATTAGAAATGTATGCAAATCGGTGTCGCGTTCGAACTTTAATGAAAGGACCAGATGTTTTAATGCACGTACGCTTACCTCATGAGACTCATAAGTATATAAACTAGAATAATCAAGTGTCACCAATGAAGAGTTACCGAGTTTAGCGATGTGATTTACTCAAGCTGTATAATCGTATTTATAATTAATTAACACACAAAGCGGTTCATTGAAAAATAGGAAGATTACATCATTCTAAACGCCAAAAGGAAGTTCCATAAAACTATCGAGAATTTTAAAAAAGAAAATACGATAAAACCGAATCTGAAAGACAACTGTCTACTTAGGGAGTATGGTAAAGGTAAGGAATAAACTATACACGTGGTGATAATAACAAATAATTAAAACAGGAGGGTGTATTAATGACCAAATTACCGTCCATGAAATTAGGTGTTAGGGCTATGGAAGATAGACGATAGTTTGCACATGTCACTTTTGGACAAAGAAATCAGGTTTTGAAAAGACGAGCTGCCTATGTTTGTGCAGTGCACAAGTAATCGACTTGTATTCCTCTCGAACCAAGTCGTTTGAATGTAGGTGATTCTGAAAGATACCTGATGAGGCCGTGTGATTCAATCTAATAAGATGCTCTGGCATTTAGCTGTTGATTATTTTAGGTCTTTCAAAAGCCACGCATGTTTGGAAATGCACTGGCTTTATGTCACTGATATAGAAAGTAAACTCATAAATACACAATGACGTAACAGTTTATCTTTTATGCATCCACGAACGACTGGGTGGCTAAAAAAGATTGTGAAGATCTGAGAGTTTTACTCAAAGATGCCGTTGGATGATCTTTCGAAATGTACTAGGCATTATCACTCCCAAGCTCAGCGTTCATAGTGTTTTTTAGAACTGTAGGTCTTGGAGATCGTAGATTGGATTTCATTCAATGGAACTTGATGGATAAGCATTTCTGATATTTGTCGAAGTTCAAACAGTTCCGTGTCTATCGTGTTTTCGGAGCTAGCGGCGCATCTTTCCAAAACTTGGTTCCTTTGTCCAAAAGTGACATGTGCAAACTATCGTCTATCTTCCATAGCCCTAACACCTAATTTCATGGACGGTAATTTGGTCATTAATACACCCTCCTGTTTTAATTATTTGTTATTATCACCACGTGTATAGTTTATTCCTTACCTTTACCATACTCCCTAAGTAGACAGTTGTCTTTCAGATTCGGTTTTATCGTATTTTCTTTTTTAAAATTCTCGATAGTTTTATGGAACTTCCTTTTGGCGTTTAGAATGATGTAATCTTCCTATTTTTCAATGAACCGCTTTGTGTGTTAATTAATTATAAATACGACTATACAGCCAGAAAGACATTTTAGCTTAATTATATATATATATATATATATATATATTTGATCTAATTGACAGTGAATGAAACTGAAGTGGCAGTGTTCAAAATGAGCGATTTTCTGGCTCAACGCGATAATCCAGAATTTCTGTGGTGAAAAGCGATAATGTCACTATGAAGCAACTATTTGTATATATAATATACTCCTTGATTCGACCATAACGTTTTACTGCTACTGTGTCTGGTACTGTTAATCCTGAAGATCTACTTTTGATTATGAAGATGATATCTAGTGGTTACGTGCTCTTATGCTACAAAGTGAGAATGATATCTTAACAGATTAATTTCAGGATATCTTTTTCAGTATCATAAAAAGCACAATATTGATGACACACTAGAATATTGGGAGAAGTTTATGTAATACATCGGTGGGTTAGATCTTCATTGTTTGCTAGTCGGAAGTCCTTGTGGTGATTACTCAATTATCTTAAAATGTTGTTATAAACCATTTAAGAATTACTTGCTTTAAATACTTTAATTCACATATAACAGTACTTAGGTGTTGTAATGCTGATAAAATAAATGGCAGTGTGAAGGGTCATGGGTAGCTCTAGAAAGGTACGACCTCTATGGTCGTATTTCCTAAGAACGTATTTAGCAGTGATATACCTCGCCCATATTATCTCAACGCAACACACGGAAATCATAATATAACTTTACCTTATCATCACTAGGTCTTAGAATCATCATTGATAAGTCACTTGTTGAGGTTTAATAAAGTTATGATACAGAATGTTCAGAGAAATTACACTGTCACATAAGAAAACTTATGGAAGTATCACACTAAAGAATAATTCTGCAGTGATTGTAGAAAAATATGTAAATAATTCTAAATGATATAGGTTGACTAGGATCAGAAAAATGTTCCAGTAAACAGGTCGTTAAATAAAACGATCCGAATAGAGTCACTTGAATTGTTCTATCCATTTCTTTACCAGTAAATCTAGACAAGTAAATTGCCAATTCCAGTCATTAGGATATAAATACGGACGGAAATCAAACCTAAAATGAGCAACGTGGATATTTGATGCAAAATGTTTAGTAAACATACAATATAGCTTTATTATTAACAAAGCAGAATGAACAGATAATTAATTATACCTAGTTGATTTGATTTTCTCTTGGAATCGAATTCTGATGACCCACTTGCTTAAATATGCTGATGTTTAGGAAGACAGCGAAAACCTCACGACTATAGCACCCTGCCCACGCAACACAACGCCTACAAACTTCTTATAATGAGCTATAAATATACTCTATGATGTAAGGATCGAATTGTCTATAGCTGCACATCTAAATTCGTCATCACAATCAACCTAATTTCTGACATCTTGAAAATAGCTTAATCCTTTTAGTATGTCTCTACTGGTCTTACTCGTCACACCAAAACTTCATGATCTAGGGTTTTGATGATTATATTACTCCTACACACAGGAATCAGTGTGATAAGACGGTGCTTGGCGATCATTTAGCGTTTGGAAATGATCTGTGTTATCGGGCATCCCGATTGTCTTAACTAATTTTAAACACTGGATATAGTGATAAGAATGTTATAGAACGGAAAAAATGTCTTCATGCTTGTGTTTTCATCCAATACTTAATAATAAAGGAGATGATGAATCGACCAAACGTTCCTTCTACGAAATTCCTGCTTTGGAAAAAACCCATCGCATTTTCATAGTTGCTTGATGTGTTCATTACAAACAGGGGATTGATGGTGGGTCTGTTTAATAGTCAGACGTATGTAGACAAAATATACGAATGAAAATGAATTCAAACCGATAGAAAAACGCGGATATGAAATGGGTACCTATCAAGATTTATTGGCCGGATTTTAGAATCTAAACTCTTTACATAGATGACTAATAGGGAAACCATATGTTAGGATATGACGTTAGTTTGAGATCATCAGAACTCATTTCGTAGACCAGATTAGCATAACCAACAAAATTTAACCCGTTTTTTATTACAAAACCAAACAGGACATAAATGACAGCACTAAATACCGCTCTTTATCAAATTAAATTGCATGTGTGCTTGAACACATATGGCGAGGTAGGTCTTGAAAGACCACTCTTGCAAACATTTCAGCAAAATGTGCTGTGGAGAGAAAATAAACATATTTACCTATCTGTTCATAATGAGGACAGAAAACGAAATGAGGGTGAATGTGTATAATATGGTGGCTTTTAAAATAGGATATTTTGACAACAGATTCTGTACACAGATTCCAATCCATAGTGCGGTTTCACCATCATGAGATTTATGCCGACAGATAATAAGATGAAAATACAATATCGAGTTTTAGTTCACGTCCAAACTAACCATTAGTGTTTGATTAGAAACCTACCGAAATTGCGTTTCTATGTGAGAAAATATAAGTATGTAAAGGTGATGCGTAGGCTGAGTTCGAAAACACTGTATGAACTCGCACTTTGAAAGCAGTAAAATTGTAATAAAATTCATATTGTAGGCTAGACATCATGACATAGCCATGAACTTCGGAATTAAACACAATTATATATAGTGAGGTGGGAACAGTTTCATCAAGGTTCAGATGATTAATTGGAAATATTGATATTTATCCTTAAAAGTTTCCGTTCATGTGGTTCTCCACGTTACTCCAGTATGGTTAGCTGAATTTATTGTTGCCTCGTAGTTAAAAAAGATTTTCCAATCAAGAGTGGTTTGTGTTTTCATCGGATGATGTAACTTCGTATCTGGTGTGATCGTTTACATCCAAATGAAATGAACTGTATTATGTTGCCAATTGCTCAGAAAACAGCTTAGAAGTGTTAGTGATGCTGATATTAAACCAAGTGAACGATATCCCTTATAAACATGTTCTGCTAAAACATTCTACGATGTAGATTTTAACTACCTCTGATGGCAACAATAATGTTAGGTCCAAACCTAGATAAACTTTAATTTGTCAGAAAGGAAAAGCTAGTGGTTTTAGCAATTATATCTACGGAATTCATAATATGTAAATTATGAAGTTTTGTGATCTAGTTGCTACCCATGGTCATCTTAGTCAAGTTCCTATGACTACAGATATCACTTAGTTATCTGGGAGACTTCAAAAATAACTGGTCTTACTGCATTTGACTCGCGAAATATGCTCATTCCCGCAACAGAGATCTAGCGACTCCAGATACATCTCTCCTGTTCTACAGGGTGATAAGCGCATACACAATGATAAGGGTATTTAGTAACTCTGTGACTAAATGAACAGAGAAGAAAAAGATCAACTCACCGGTTATCATCAGCACTATAAGCCTCAGTATGGTAAGCTGGTGGTAAAACAGTAGCCTTATGACGATTGATAGCATAAAAACGAAAAAATAATTTCACTTTTTCGCTAAGATATTGAGCAAGTTCAGCACCAGGTTTCCCATCTTTTTGAAAACAACTATCAGGCATAACCTTCTTAATCAGTAACCAACTACCGTCCAATAATGATTCTAACATACTGTAAGGTCCGCAGTTGGATATTTTTCTAAGTCTACCAAATAATGATAATTCGTCATAGGTCAATCCCATTTCACATTCATCTGTCTGACTAATTTCACCGTTAGATTGAAGTGGCATTAGTTCAGCTGTTGGGTGAGCAGATAAGATTTCTAACAATACTTCCGAAAGTTCAACTCCACTTCCAGAATCCATATAACTTGGGAACGTTTGAGCACAGTAAGCAATAAACAATCGTAAATCTGACTTACTGATACTTCCAATAGGATTTAAGTCTGCACTAGAACAGTCATACCTAAGAAAAAAAGTTGAAAACACAAGATAGCAAATTACCCGCAAAATCCTTTATGTAGTAAAATAGTGGTTTTTCTCTTAACATAATTACTTTACTGTCTAATAATTCCTTATCACAAGAAAAGGATCGCAGTTACTAGTTGTGCCAACTACCTTGATATAATATAACATCTTAATGCTTCATAAAAAGTACATATTAAAAACTGGAAGGATCCTCTACTTACTTTTCCGAGCTTGTTTTGAGAAATTACCATAATAAAGGAAGGGAAGCAAACCATTTAAAATGTTTACTTTCCTCAAGTTACCGAATCCAGGAGCTTTTGATTACCATGCAGTTTGAGATATCATATGTCGCTTACTTGACAAATCCCACCGAGCTCAGTACTTTCATTCCATTGGATCGAATCCAATAGTCCACATTTCCAATGTTAGTCAATTAGCGCTGTAGCCCATTTTTAATCCCTTATTGAATTCGTTTTCATTACAAGTTAGAAACTGGTAAATCCATACCGACGCTAATGACTAGCGGGAAAATTATTATTTATTACGGTGATCTTACGGAACAGCTGTTGAGCGCTTTGTGATATTTAGTAGTCCTTCAGTCGATATCATTACTTGATGATACTTTCGATTTTTTTAAATAATCCGAAAAACCGCTTGATCGCACTATTCTTTCAGCTGATGATTAACTAAGAAAAGTCGATACTTTTAATAGCCTAAGGAGACGGACTGTGATAGAGATAACTTACGAAATTATCATGAAATCAGTGTTCTTCGAGATTTCACGAAATACGAGTGTAAACCCATATGTAATCGGTCTAATTTTACCAGAGTTTGCTCAACATGATATACATCTAGCCACGAATTAAACTCGGCTTTAAAAAATACTGGGAACCGGAAAGTGTCAATTAGATTCGAAAATAAGACATACAAACCTCTTAGTGATTACTGTGCCGTAAATTTCAATTTTAAAAACTAACTAAACCTTTAAAAGTTATCATTTCGATATCTCAGTAACAAAACATCCCACTGTATGTGAAAGTAACTCGTAAGTTCACCGATTAAGATAAAGATGGAGTTGCAACAAAGCGTATTGAGGGGATAACTATCGATGACAACAGTATTGACTGGATTATTTGGATAACATCAAGGAAGTGATAACTTCATAGAACTAAGGGATTTCTACTTCACTGAAACAAAGATATATGAACGATAAATGCGCTTAATTTTAGTAAATTCTCACCAGGTTATATAACTATAAGTAAAAAATAACCAAATTTAAGTCAAGTACATTAATAAATTTATTTTAGTAAGATGTAGCTGGCTTCATCTACGGCATTTCCTTGGACTGTTATTTATAATTGCAAAACATGATAGGAAGTTATCGAATAAATTACTGACCATTCGTTTTAAATTGGAGACAAAGATAATCTTTTCCTCTCATATTAGATATGACCCTGTGTAGTTCGATCAACATTGGTTATTTGAAGGTTAATGACACTTCTCGGATGCCAAGAAAAAAGTACATGTTATTGGGGTTTAAGCGCACAACTTAATAGCAAAAAATGCTTTAACCACTACGACGGTCTGTTTTAAAGCTAATTTATATTAAGTTCAGATAAACTTGGTAACACAGAATTTCACTTTCAATATCATACGACGAGTAGAATTTTTACCTAGTAGTTTAACTTGCAGCTTACGATCAAGAATAAAGTTTCGAGCGAAATGATATTAATCGATTAATGTGTCGTATCAAATGAATAAGTTGTTTCACATACATGGCAAGTCAGTTAGCCACTTGTCCTGTGCCTTATCTGGACGTTTTTGTTGTTGGGACAGTCAAAAACTTGACCAAATCGGAACTCAGTAAAGTTAATCGGGTAATTATTTTCATCATGAACTTATTGCAGTGAAAACCATTATATTAACTGGTTATTACGAAAAATTTAAATAACAATGAATATTTCTCACTGAAAAGTTGTCAAACTGCATTTTTACTAGGTGAAAGTTTAACAAATGGTAACCTACTTTGTTAAATAACCTCTTAGTCCTTCATCTAGATTTGCACTACTTAAAACTAACAGACCTGACGGCAAATTCCATTTCCATGGTATTAACTGAGCCAGTAAATATGCTGAAACCATACGACTTCTAGCTTGTATATTTTGAAGAGCTAAACTCTCTTTACTTGAACCGCCATGAACAGTGAAACGAGGTGGTTGAGCAAGATTCAAAGTCTTGGAAGCCATATGGACAAATTCTTTTACCAGTGGTGTAATATCGGACTACGAATTATACATAATGTTAGAATTAAAAATAAATTTTAACATTAAGCAATTTTAAGGCTACATAATAATAAAGAGGTTTGCATAATGGAACTTTATCACTTGGCTAAGTGATTACATTACATTCTTTAACCTATACAAACCTGATCAATACCAAAGAATAACTTATCGACCTGCTTATCATAATGACGATATAATATAGTTGGTTACCTTATTAACTTACGTTGATGGTGATTAGTTAAACCATTTAATTCAAACAAACTAATAACTTAGTGGGTAAAACCTTGGGTTTTGAATTCAAGTGTGAATACGAGAATTAGAACTCAAGAGATGATGTATACGCCCCGTTGGTGAGTTTTTAAATAAAACGAAATGCGTTAACCGAACTTTGTTATCAGTTACCAACAAATAGCACTCAGTAACAAGATATAAATCTTATTTAAACAGCTTATTTGTGGGGATTTTTCAATTTTAAGATGGTGATGATGCAGCCCAGAATAACTGGCTTAAATTGATTTGAAGCAACTGAGAGATACAGCTTCACATGAAGCTGGAGCAAAGATCTCCAGAAAGTGAAAAGCACTGGGTACCGACTTACTAGTCTTAAAAAGTCGGGTTGAAAGAGTGATCTGAAGGGTCTGGTTTTTATCCTGAGTAAGTATGTGATACCCACTCCTGAAGACTGTGAGGGTACGAAATAAACAAAATGTCCACTCCTTCCAGGTTTTTATTGGTTCTCCGATTGACTCAGGCATGTAATGTAAATCTTTGCTGTATCACCATTTTTTCTTCGTTTTAATTTAATTCTTTAGGTAATAATGGTGTTTTTTGTTTCAGAATACACTGCATAAAAAACAAGCTCATTAAAATGACAGATGTTTTAAAACTATCGGATCAATTTTCGGAGTAATGTAAAAGAGATTGAAATTTAATTACTTCTAAATGATTTGAACCTAAAAGTTTAGCTAAGCGATTAGCACGTGATCTTGTAAGCGCAGAACTGTTCTCACTTGACATAAAACAAGTTGTTAGTAGACGAGAACATAATTGACGACCACTATCAGGGATATATTTATCCGACTCATTCAACAGAGTTCGTAAATCGTGCGTAACGGACATATTACCTTGTCTTATAGCTTGAAAAATCTAAAATGAAAGAAAAAATAAACATATGTATTTCACTTCAGCAAATGCATAATAATAATACTAACTATAGTAGTATATATAATAATATAATACATCCCTTGAATTAAAGTCTGTGGAAATATTACGTGTAGTAAAAATGAAGCAGTTTCAAATATCATTTTATGGATTTGTTTGTCACTTATTGTTAAGCAACCATACTGTGAAATACTTGATCAATTTGTTGAATTTTGACAGCAGAATAATATAAACGAATACCCTTGATCAGAAGTCCTTAAGTTAATCATTAAACTCCCTCAAATTAATAAGTTGGTCAACAGTTTATTGAATCAAACACGATTATCATGGTATATAATGGTCATTATATATCTCAGATTACATTTGAGACCAAACTTACAATAACAAACAAACCAAGTTAGAGATGATGATAGATATATTTTGTAAACATCTGTTTGTTTGTGGGACAATAGTATTGCTAGAGATGCTGGTTGCGTTGGAAAAACACTCCTTTCGCCATATCTTGTTACAATAGGGAGTACGACTCTACTGTCAGATTTTAAATGTGCTACTTTTAGTCCTATTGTTTTGCTGACTACCTGCTAGGTACGTTAGGACCTCAAGAAATAAATGTTTTAGCCAATATAACCCCACTGGATCGTCATAACAGAAAGATTAAAACGTCGCATTAAAGTAGCAGTTACATTCGGGATAACTTTATTACAAACTGCACATTAATGGAACTTCAGAATGGCTTATTTTTCCTACCTTTTTAGCATAACACTCTACTCCTACTTCGATTTTAGCGCCCGTACAGTATTACAGCCCTCACACAAATAAATGATAACTGCTAATGGCCCCATTGTTATTGTGTAGCGCATACGTATTTGGTACCCCCGTTGTACCAATGTTTGTGTTCAAATAAATAAATAAACATAACACTCTGCTACAAAGTGAATCACTATATCTCCACACTGTGATAGTGAAATAGAAATGATTAAACATAGCCTTTACTAAAACGACACTTTTTAATGAAATTACTTGATTACAAAGACTGAACACAATACACGCAACTGCTGCACTGTCCAAACCTCCACTCAGGCAAAGAAAAAATCCTGAAGACTTGCTTCGGCGTAAATTGTCCCATAACCATAATGCAGGACCATAAGAAATCTCTTCTGGAGGTGAGGGAATATGAGTATCAACGTGAGGCTGTAAGGACTGATCAGGCCAATGGTCAATATGGCAAAGATTGAAATCAACCTGCAAATGAAAATGATCTAGGCAGATGTTATAAATTAAAGAACAAATTTATCAGAATTCACACTTTTGCTTAATCATAAAGTGTTCTGATGGAAGAAACAGCTATAGATGAAAAGCGATGTAGAGCATTATTTGCTTGTATGGAGATCGAATATTTTGTAGATAAACAAAAGCACTATATAGGCAACCAAACTAATTTCTTCAACTAAAGTTTCAACCTAGCTATTTATGGTACATTGAATGACAAAAAGTTAGGGATAAACTAATGATGAACATCAGAAAGTTGTTCACCATTTGCAAACGCTACATTCCAGTTAATAATATGAATAGACAATTGGCTTGCTTAATATGTAAACTCCGTTACATGAATTACAAGCCGTCAAATAATTTATATCGTGTTGTGACTGTTCTTGAAGTTTTAGTGTTCTCCAGTTTATTTTCATGAAAACTTCGAACACTAATCTATGTACGATTTTTAATGAAACAGATATCTGAATTAATTCCAGAAGCCCGATAATTGCTTCGGAGTTGTTGTTCGGTGGTCCGATCATTATTTTTCACAAGTTTGACTCTTGCCAAATACAACACAATCCATGTCTATGGTTCGAATCTTCGGCTTTCATATAAAGATATGGCCAAAATTAAAGTGCATGATCCTGTACTTGATTAGTTATTTGGATTTATAATGTTTCATTAACTTATAATTACTGCTTAATCTAATATTTTCCAATAGTAAGTGCGATCGATCGTTCAAGAATATAGCCGAAATGGCTTGTGGTCGGTAATGGCAAAGAATATGCATATAATCGGTATGATACTACTAATCACTGATAACTGACCAATGAATTTCCAATCTAAGCAATTATAACTAACGAGATATCTCTTTTCATGCTTTACCGTTCTTGAATTGTATTTTACTTCGCAGATGATACAGATATTCAAATTATAACCTTTAAGTTATGTACTTATATTCTTATGTAGGTCCCTAGATCATAATAAAAATAAATGAATGACATAATAAAAACAACAGAGCTTTGGTATCTTGCCCAGTGCGTTAAACGAAAGAAAATCGTACCTTAACAACTGGATAACAACTGTGTGTAATGCCAAATGCATCGGATTTCGCAGCTGCACTAGCTGCAGCCGCACGCCCAAAACAACGACTGGCAATTCGCTTTGATCTCAGTGAATTCAGACAAACAGTGACAGTTTCAACAGAGACATCCCCAAATCCAAACTGTGGGCTCAGACAAATTAGCTGACCGGAAACTGCGGCTAATGCACAACCGTCGTAACAAGCTCTCCCAGAATCGCATCCTCTAAGATTTGTATACGCATAGAATCCACCACCATTCGTTGTGCTGGCAGATTTCACTAGTTCTATTCTTCTACTTAGTTTTCTCAGTTCATGGTGACTGGCACTGGAATTGAGCACAGCATCCACACCAGCCGCATACATATCAATATGAGGTGGTGTTCCCGTCCAAAGCTCTTCACATGTTTCCAAGCCTATCTGTACACATTCAGAATAGCCATTTCCAGAAAATCGTAAAATAGCATCACCAAAAGCTGCTACTGACTGAGAATTCTTGGTTACTTTCTGGACTATTTCGGGCAACTCAAAGTCAATGATTCTCTGGTGATGAGGCCAAGGCGTAAACCAACGAGACTCTCTGTGCAAACCTTCATCTGCGAGGACTAATTTCGGTCGTATCAATAGAATAGTCCCATTTAACAAAAGAATTCTGCAGTTATAAGCCACACCTCTCAGTAAAACTGGCATTCCAATATCACAAACAATATCTTGCATTTCAACATTTTCATTTGTTTCACTCAATATTTTTGCAATGCATTGCCATGAATGAGTATAGGTATCCAATTCATGAAAATGATCTTCACATCCGTAACTTGAGACCTCTAGTTCTGGGCCAACTCTATACTTAGCCCCCAAGCGTTTAGCAGTTTTAATACTTTCGATTACACGTCTAGTATTTCCACTAAAGTCAAGCGCCCACTGATTCAGTACACATAGAGCAACAGTAAATTTGTTGGAGACCGGAGAAAAGTTAGTAACTACAGCAGACATTAAGCCCCTAGATTAAAATGCAAATTGCATGTTATATGCTTCGAAAAACAAAACACTTGCAAAGCAGAGAAGAGTTACACATGAAAACAGGGATTTAGGACTGATTAAATTGGGTTTTACATTATTAACCACATCCTGTTATAAGAATAGTGCCGTATTAGAGAGAACAGATGAAATGAGACGTCATTACGAAAAGATCAATACATTCTCAAAGACCAATTAAAACCCCAATTGTTAGAAATTAGTTGGTAATTCGCTACTATAGTGGGGATTTTCTGAATGAAGGATCTTCATTTTATTGTGCCTGACTTTGAAATATGTCAATATATTTCATAGGTAAAAACTTCAAGAAAGCATGTTGTGAATAATTCGTATTGCATATAGAACTGGATATCAGCGATGCGTATGGAAAACAAAGCCTTAAATTTGCAAGATATGTTGCTGAAACATTAGACTTAGTCAGCCAGCTTCAACGTAGGACCAGGCACATATATACATCGGTTCAAGTTGCTATACCTCGTTAGCACAACAAGATGAACATCAAATTCATATTAGTTACATCAATGGTAGTAATGTATACAAAAAAGATGGTGCATAAGGATACAATAAAAGAACAAAGAATTATTTCGTAGAAAGAAAGGTATAAAGCGACTCTAACTTCACGGTTTAAGAGAAGACAAAGAGTGCATACACTTACACCATTGTGGTCGATTCTAAGCCATTTCAGCCAGTCTCTAACCACTGGTTATGATGGTCACACTGACCCCAACCAAGTAGTCTGCATCTACCAACATGACTCAGACCATAAGTTAGTGACTTTATGGACTCATGCCATGTTTTGGTTTGGCCGCCTCTAACTTTCTTGCAACCATCCCCAACACTAGTCAGCATTGCGCGCCGTGGTAAACGGTGGTCGGGCATACGTAACACGTGGCCCAACTATCTCAATTGATGAAGATTCACAAAATCATCAACTGATTTATCACCATTCTCTAATACCATACATCCAACCTCACTTTTACTTATCGCCTACTTATCCAGTGATCCCAGCAGATGCGAACAATATTGAACTTAGGATTTAGCTTGTAAGTTTATTATTATTACATGTATTACTGTGGAGAAGAATGGTTCAAATCATGGGGAAAATGGTTTACCAGCAATAGTCTATTGTGTTAAAGACTAAACTTTTATCAAATTAGTTTGTCTTCTGATATTCAAAGTGAACACCATACCAAGGGAGGAACAGAAGATATATATGTATTATATATATAATACATGTTAAAAAGCAAAAATATAAAAAGCTATTTACTAAAGTTGTTTTGTAAAAATATCTTTGAGGATCTTCGTACTGTCTGATACATATACACGTGCGGACGTTTCAGACCAGTCCTTCAGTTGGTACAGGCAATTACAATTAATCCATAGACATAATATTATCTATATGTGTATCATATACGTGGTGCACTTGTGCACGTGTACTAGAAAAAGCAGAAGATTCTATTGGGAATCAAGCGGAGTAGCAGCAACAAGTTAGAAAGCAGTTACTTAGACCTAAAGCGACCGACCTTTAGAAGTCTGATGGCAGCGGGTTTTTGGGAAAACGAGACTTGTACATTCAAAGCCAAACACGACAGTGTTCTAGTTAATTTCTTAATAAGAACATCCAACAAACATAATTTGCTTAAATGTTGTCTGCTGATCATATAACCCAGTAACCGATTAGCTATTGACCACAGAATTTTATATGGAATAGATGGTATGGGGATAGCAGTTAATTGAGTGGTACACATTTAATCCTATTTTCAGTCTAAACGTGAACAGTTGGATAATTCAAATAATCCAAAACTAAGTTAGGTCTTTATTGTTGTTGTTTTTTTGATTTTGATAAGTAATTAAAATTCAGCAGCATTGTATTTATGTTGAGATAAATTTCCGGGGACGCTATAGGGATATGAAGTTGGTATGTCCATTCAAAGTCGACTTTTTGTCATCACCTAACAATTGTTTCCTGAAGCTGTAGTGACTCACGTTTATCACGAGAACACGACTGGTTTAATAAAAACAATTATTATTATAACCAACTGTACCAGTGTTTGTTTTAACGTGCTTTTGTTTGACTGTGCTAATGACAGCTATTTTGTGCTTCCATTCTTTCGCTTACACTTCGATTGTAACTTCGCGCGAATTCGGTTACCTTCAGTAACCAAGCTTGTATCCTGGCACGATCTCGGTATCCTTTCGATGCCACGAGATCGCCAGCTAATAAACCTCGACTTGGTCCATTAACTGTCTTCTGATATTTGGCTTCTCGGGGATTTTATGGAGTCATTTGGAACGAGCTTCTTACGCCTTCTGATCTAATTGGCACGTGTTTCTTGGTAGCGGTGTTCACAGTTAATCTCAACTCGACGCCACGCTACAATTGGTAATCCCAATTCGACTACAATTGGTGACCCGTATTTTGGAACACGATTCAACTTCTGATCAAATCTTCCAAAGAAGCCAATTCGGTGAGTCTATGATTTATCTATCCACGTCTGTCGTATATTTTCATATTTTTAATATATAATATACGCGACATGACGGATAACGATAAGAATAGTATTAATATAATAGACTCACACGTATGTGTACCGAATCCTTGTCACTTTTTATTCGCGTGATGATGAATTCCACGCTTTATTCGAGTAATGTTACCCTATTAACGATTCTCCTCGCTGACCCGGCTGCTTGGTACGGAATGCATACGCATAAGCATCTCCGTCTACCACCCAGCACCAAATGGTTAAGTTGAACGGTTTCACTGCCAACTTAAAAGTGTTCTACGAGCACACGAAAACGGCAACTGGCACGAAACCATACCGCTCGTTCTTTTAGGGGCGAGAACGAGCTTAAAGGCAGATATCCAGTGTTCCGCCACTGAACTTGTATACGGCACGACATTGCGTCTGCCCGGAGAATTCTTCACACCACGGAGCAGACCTAATTTCGGTAAATCAGACTACGTCCATCGACTGTCTGCATTTATGCGAACGCTGTCTCCGGTGTCAACTCGAATACAACATCGACAGGTCGCTCTCCCTCGAGAGTTATCTACCTGTTCACATGTTTTTGTACGAGTAGATTCGGTACGCAAACCTTGGCAACAACCTTACGAAGGCCCTTTTCACGTGATCGCTCGTCACGAAAAGACCTTCAAGGTTGATCGATATGGACGCGTCGAGATCGTCAGCATTGATCGTCTCAAACCAGCACACGTCGATGACAGTGCCCTATCTGACACCCTGAGATTCAATGCTAGACCTATCAAACCTAGCGGGATCCTTAAATCTTCTTCAGGTCCCACGCTAGATGCATCTGAGACCTCATTCTCACGTCCCGGTCAACAGCACGCGTCATCTGCACCGTCTACGGACGAGACGATAGTCTCACGTCCAGATCAGCAGACCACGCCGCCTCTGACCTTGGATGAGATTGCAGGCTCACGCGATGCGAACGAGACTGCCGTCTCACGTTCCGGTCGCCGAGTACGGTTGCCCGTACGCTTCCGTGAATAGTCGCACAGTCAACAGCCGATACGGTGTAGGGTTATTCCTATGCTACATGCATGCTACACTCCTCTTTTTTTGATTTTCTTTTTGTTTCCTGAGCCCACGCCTTCGACCATCTCCGTTTGGTTCCGTCGACTTCAGTCAACTTTGGCGAAAGCTGGATTGGCCACCCATGCTCTTGTCAACGCACTCAGTCGATATATTGGTTTCGAATGCTTGGCATACGCTTGGTCTCGAACTTGGTCGTTACGGTCGCTTCTGGTCTTTTGGCTCAACGTGGTTTCGTCCTACGTCTGCAGCGTTTCTGGTGCGCACCTCTACGAACGCCCTCTTCAGATTCTGGATACAAACCACTTTGGTGTAGCATGCCAACTCGAGCAATAAGTACAACACATCGCTCCTGGTACTGTTCTCCGAAAACGACCTTCGTTGGCAACTCGACGATCAACGATCGCTTTCCTGTTCGCCAATCCTTCCGTCCTACAATCGCTCGTCAGCCGATCAGTCCCACGATTCAAACCGCTGTTTATCGAAAGTGTAAACCCTTTCTAGCGGGGGGCTCCTGTAGTGACTCACGTTTATCACGAGAACACGACTGGTTTAATAAAAACAATTATTATTATAACCAACTGTACCAGTGTTTGTTTTAACGTGCTTTTGTTTGACTGTGCTAATGACAGCTATTTTGTGCTTCCATTCTTTCGCTTACACTTTGATTGTAACTTCGCGCGAATTCGGTTACCTTCTGTAACCAAGCTTGTATCCTGGCACGATCTCGGTATCCTTTCGATGCCACGAGATCGCCAGCTAATAAACCTCGACTTGGTCCATTAACTGTCTTCTGATATTTGGCTTCTCGGGGATTTTATGGAGTCATTTGGAACGAGCTTCTTACGCCTTCTGATTCGCTTGGCACGTGTTTCTTGGTAGCGGTGTTCATAGTTAATCTCAACTCGACGCCACGCTACAATTGGTAATCCCAATTCGAATACAAAGCTTTCCAAGACTACCATTTGAATGACTGAAGAAAGTCACCAGATAGATTGCTATATTACTTTCGAACCTGCTTTTTTTAATGATGACGTTAACTTTTATTAGAATTAAAGGTCAATGTTTTGTAAAATAATAAGTATAAGCTCCCTAGTTATATTAGGGAATATGCACCACAGTTTGCTTGTACGTTATCTGATGCAAATGCTTGACCGACTGCTTTCAGATAGATTTACATCAAGTAAAGGCCAACATGAATGTCGATTTGTTAGCTACTACAATTGTATGGAGCTAAGTGCCTTCAGTCTCTCACTCTACGGTCTTCTCTGTGGATCACTGAGGCGAACCTTATTGGTTTATATGTCTAACTTTGATCAGTTAGGGATATCGTGCGATCATCAAATCTGTGGCTAGTGGATCAGTTACACTCCAACGACTATGCATGACCTTCTAAGGTTCTTGAATGTGGGAAAATTATGAGTTTTACATGAGACGCACTGTAGGGTATTAGAGGAATACCCATGCCCATACTGTTTCCGTCTTAGTATTATTTTAAGATGCTTATTTTCTGATAATAATTTATTTAACCGCTGGAAAAACCCTTTTATATCCGTAAATAGCTGAGTGCAGACCGCCTGACACCAACCCACTCAACATTAGAAATAGGTGTTAATGGAACTGCCTTAATATCCACATAGCTCTTTTGGGATCGGCAACAAGATATTTGATAGACGATCTTAAATTAAATTTTAACCTGTAAATCTTGAGTGGTAGTGCAGAGCGAATTGAGATATTACGTTACCACCGGACAGGAAGATTCCTACTTTATGATTTTTTGTCAGATTCGTTAATAATCTTGAGATAAGTTGCACCCATTTTCCTTTTTTATGAGATTCTTCTGAGTACAGCTGACCTCAACAGTCGTGGATGGTACGAGGTCCCACTCATATCACTGCTCTTCAAGAAATTCGGGATAGAATAATGTGGTATTTTTACTGTGGTGTGGACTGCTGATGTCGACAGATATGAGCAATGTGGATCATCAATGTCTGGCAGCAGAATGTTGCAGTGACCCACTTTTATCAAAAGATCGCGATTGGTATAACGGAAACAATTACTATTATACTCGATTGTACCGGTCATTGTTTTACAGTACTTGTTTGTTTAACTATACTAAAGACTTCCATTATTATTCCATCCTTCCTTCAGTTGATTGTGGCCTTGCACGAATTCGGTTACGCTCAGTAACCACACTTGCAACCTGGCACGATCTTGATATTTTTTCGGTACCACGAGATCGCCAACGAATACATCTTGACTACAGCTCTAAACTGCCTTCTGATATTTTGCCTACGGGGGATCTTATCCATTAACTGGCACGTAGTCTTCCTGTAGTGGTGATCATAGTCAACCGCGACTAGACGCCACACTACAAGGTTGAGAGGATCAAAAAAAGGAGACGAGAACAGAGAGTTATTGGTGTGGAAACGAAGGAACGGTCAAGTCTGAGACAGTTGATTGACATTTTTCAAATGAAGAACTTATTGTATAGTTCTCAGATTTGACCAAGCTCTTCTGTGATGCTGTGTTGAAATACATGTGGTTGTCCGCACTTGTGTTAATGTTCACTACAGTACGAACTAATGATTCCTTTGTGCTTAATTTTCCACTGATTACATATTTTTGTGCTCACCTGGCTCTACCTGCCCTAAATTTCGCTACTTCGGTAATTCTCAGTTAGTACATTAATTCCAATACTTTTAATCATCATATTGGCGTTGCGATGGAGCTTGTGATTGGAAAGCTGTACATTCAAATTTTGGGGTTTCCAAAGAATAAGTGGAAGATTTTGAAACCTTAAGTATGACCGGGAAAGATGTTAAAGGTTATGAAATTTTGGCTCGTTTCCTCACATTCACTGTGGAAGAATGCCCTGTAGATTACTAAAAACTTCGGTATTTTCAGATAAGCCTATCTCATTTCTCTGAGCAACTATCAAGGACGTACTACTAAATCATGTAAATTGTGAAAGTTTCTAATGTCACAAAAGAGCGAAATTTCAGA